GTCCCTGCGACTTCAGATCCAGACAAGCAGAGGGATGAGGTAAAGCACTCGGAAACTGAGGCGATGGTGACAACCGTAATGTGTAGGGCTTGGCTGGCATCAGGCCAGGTGCCACGTGTCCTTGTCGAAGGACACCCAGAAGTGGTACAGGAGGCTGGTGCCTCTTCCTCACTGCACTTCTGATCTCGTGCATCCTTTCATTCCTGATGGGAAGGGCAGATGTGGGACAGTCTTCCCGGCACAGGGATGAGGGTGCAGCAACAATACACAAGCCAACCCTGATGCTAGGAGGCAGAGAGGATGAGGCCAAGGGTCAGTTTATGGTACCCCCCACACACACTGAGGGCAACACAGTCTAGGCTCATCTTGAGATCTGTGGGCTTCTAGGTTCAGGAGGATCAGCATGCTGCACAGAGAACCCAGAAGCAGAAGCATCCAAACTCAGAGTCCTCTGAAGACGATGTCATTCCTTTGCTTAAAACCCACCACACGAAACCCAGTGGTCTCCTGACAGTCCTTAGGGTTGGCTTCCTATGCCCCTTAGCTCTCCTGCCTTCTCTCTCCCTACCTCCTACTGTCCCTGTCCCTCTGCTACCTCTGAATCCACCAGGCACGCCGTCCTTCTGGAGTGTTCGACCCTCCTTGTTTACACATGGCTCATCCCATCATCTTTTTTGTGCCTCTGTTCAAATGCAACTCTCCTACCATGCTACCGAGTTCTTTATTCTGGCCTGTTTACCCCCATATCACTATGAGGTCATATCACATGCAACACATTATATATTCCCATGCATAGTATCCGTGGGTTCATAACAAAAGGAAGATGTCACAAAGGCAGAATTTTGTTTTGTTTTCTTGTCTGAGAACTGAATTCACTCCCCTGCCTAGAATGGTCTAACGTGTAGCTGACTCTTGAAAAATATTTGCCAAATGGGCTAGCCCATGGCAATCGAGCCCTATCATGAGTCACAGAACATATAGAGGCTTGGTCCCACTCATAGACTGGGGACCACTTAGGCTCTTAACACTCTTCTGGTCTGACTGGAGCCAATAGTCAGTCCTTCAGACCCAGGAAATTCTAAGGGCGTGCTAGTTCCATGAATGTTAACTTAATTTAGGGCATACAGATGATCTTATATGCCCTAAACTTGGTTGAAATAGCATGGGGAATATTAAAAAGCCCATGTTACACACCAAGTGTTTTGTCACTTGAACTTCCCAAAGCTTGCAGATGTTTTCAGCTGTCCTTCTTTTTCCTTCTGCAAAGGGGGAAGCTGGCCTACTTAGGAGCTCCCCATAGGGTTCCAACCAAGTCCCTAGAGGGAAGCTACAATCCCCATAGCTGTAGATCGTTGTTCTGGAACCCTCTGGACCTGAAGAGTGAGTGGAGCGTACGCATCAGCAGCCACAGACAACACGCCATGCACACGGAACAGATGCCCATGGGGACAGCCATGAGATGCATGGGGTGGGGTGGGGGCAAGGAGTCCTCTGTGACATGCACTTGTGAAGTCTGACAGCTCTGGACACTTGGCCAGGTGGAGACAGTGGAGAACAGGAAGTAAAGAGAGTGAACGGTTAGGATGAGGTCAGAGGCAGAAAGAGAGGAGACAGGACATGATCGTAGATGAGCCCCACACCCGATGGGGCTAGATAGTATGTTTCAGGAGACACAGGACATGAGGGGGGGAGGTTTGATGTGCACAGGCCCCACCTGACAGAAGGAGGCCCCGTGTCCAGCCTAGTGTAGAACTCACCTGCCCCTGGTACTCCCTGCTCCCTGATGGCACTATAAGCTGTGACTCAGGTACCCTTGTGTCCAATGTACATGGCTAGGGACACCCTTTAAAACTACCAGTTTGGAGAGTGCTGCTGTCAACCTGTAGCTCTCCATAGTGAGTTAGAGACACCAGAAGAAGACTACGACACACCCCACAGCTGACAAGGTTTTCAAAGTTATTAAGCTGCTTGGAATCTAACTCAATTTCTAAAGATGAGATGTCTCTGCCATATGAGAGCCAGAAGGCAGCAAGGGCCTGATGTGCAGGCTTCTGGGCTCCCATGCTAGGCTGAGGTGGGAGTGGGGCCCCACCCATGTCCACTGGCCAGACAGAGACTGGATAAAGAGAAAGGCCTTGGGGCCTCCCGGCTCTGCTCCTTCATGGCAGTGCCTGCTTCTATTGTTGCTTTGTACAGAGTGCAGGCCTTAGACACAGCTCGGGGGCAAAGGTCAGGGCCTCCCGGGCTTCATCTCCTTGGGATGGATCACACTGGGACTGCCTGCCATGCTGAACCATACTGAAGAGTGCAGGGAGACAGATGAGATGAGAAAAAAGGGAGAGAGTGTGACAAGGAAGAGAGACTGGGCTCAAGGAGAGGACACCCTTAGTCCCGAGGGTTCACAGTGGGATTTTAAATGCCATCAACTGATGCCCCTTAGACCTTGGGTCAGAGCCTCCGTGTTTCTCGCTTCCTAGTCACTGAATATTCCATAATAGTCAGGGCATGAATGGACCCATGCCCTGTGAAACAGAAGACTTGGAGATTCTGGGGCAAGGGCCTAGGCGACTTCTTCTCAGACTCAAATCTGTGCTTGTCATGCCAGACCCTCTGGGACCTTGGTTCTGGGGGCTGGGGGTGAGGGCCTGGGAAGTGCTCCACATGTGGACAGAGGCCGGCAGCCCTGGAGGAGGAGGCCCACTGCACAGGTAAGTGCCACCTGTCTCTCTCACTTGCCTCTGCTCTCCCTGGTAGGAGGAGTTCATCGCTGACAGCCCTCCCATCAACAGGAGGAAGGGATGGGTTAGGGGGCATGAAGAGTCATGGGAAGGGGCCGTTATTGCTGGTGCCTGGAAGGCAGGGCCCCAGCTCAGCCTGGTCTCATAGGACACTCACCATTCATCTGGGATGGTGACAATGAATAGTCCCGGTCCCCATGCCGCCGGTCTGGTTTGAGGTTGCGGCTCTGCCTGCCGGAGCCCTCCAACATGTTAACAATCTCACTTCTGTCGATGTTCCGCAGGGCCGTGTACAGATTTTCCACTGTCAGGAGAGAAGAGAGGAGGCGCTGGAGGAGCGAACTCACATGATTCTAGAGCAACAGGAGTGCTGTGCAGGCCTCACAGACATGGGGCAGGGGGAAGTCTGGGGAAGAGAAACAGTTCCCCTTTTTGGATAATATCTTTTTATACAACAGGTCTACAAAAAATTAAGAGTGGCAGTTGTGGTTTAGCTTGTTTTGTTTTGTTTCTTTAAATGCTGGGGATAGAAGAGCCCATGGCCTTGTGCATGCTTGGCAAGTGTTCTGGTTCTGTTGAGCACAAAGCAGATGCTCAGTGGCCATTGTGAAGGATCTAAAGGGGTGTGTGTGTGTGTGTGATAGTTATAGCTGTGCGTGATAACTATAGAAATGTGTGTATATGTGTTCGTGATAGCTATAGGTATTTATGTGCATGTGTGTGTGTGTGGGGGGAGCTATAAGAATAATGAGAAAAGAAGAGGAAAGACTCCTCTTGAAGTCCTGGTCCACATCAGCGGATGAAGAAGCAGATGGGAGTATCCAGTTCCTGCATAGGGAAGGGTTTGGAGGAGCTGCTGAAAAAGATTGAGACAAGTTTTCCCCGACAAGAAGAGGGTGTCCTAGGAGAACAAGAGCTGAAGCAGACTGGGATAGGCCCACCCGACTCTGCCTTGAGACCACAGCACTCACCTGGTTGAGAAATTCAGTAGGAATACTTGGAAAACAACAGTCTTACATTCTATAACCTATTCTCAGGGGTCCAGGGCAATTTTGACCTCCCTCTGAGAATGGGAAAGACTGAGGTTGAGAGCCACCGGAAAAGTCATCTGGTGGGATTGCCTAGGAGACCTCAAGACTATGAGAAAGGAGAGAAGGAACAGAGGGGACCCCAGGCCAGCAGCAGGACTGGAGTCTGAAAGAGGGGCTCTGGGGAGGGCAGATCTCTCTAGCAAGACAGTTGGCTGAATGGTACTGACTCTTTGCATTTTCGCCTTCCCGGGCCACCCAGAGGGTCAGCAAGGCTGCGCTCTGCTCCAACAAGGAGTTGGGGTTTTCTACACGGATTCGGTTGATATCTTCCACGGTGAACTGCAGCTCCCGGGCCAGCTCTGTAGGCAAAGAACCAAGAGCCAGGATGAGTGTGGAGTTTATCCCAGTCCCCATTAAACCTGGGGTTACTTCCCACCAGTTAAGTCTTGGTGTGGAGGAAATATCTGCCTCCTAGTGCCCCTAGTGGACGGGGCTGGGAGGCATTTGATGAGTGAGTGGATGAGTAAATGAAGACATTTCCATTCTTCTTCCATGACTTCACTGAGGAGGCGATGAGAATGAGCTTCATAGGGTGCAGGACAAGCTAGTCCCCAGACTTTGAAGTCACCTGCAGCCTTGCACAGGTGGCCACTGGCTGTCCTCCAAGAACTCAAGGATAGAAAGGCAGCCCTGTGGTTACTACAGTAGCTCCCTCTGTGGCTTTTATTGTGACTGCTCCAGATGGTTAGAAGGGGAATACATCAGGGTACTTTAAGTATGAGGAAGACTGGCCAGAAGGTGACTGTAAGTCAGAACATGCCTATACGACACACACACACACACACACACACACACACACACACACACACACACACACCAGGTGGTGGTGGTGCACACCTTTAGTCCCAGCACTCAGGAGGCAGAGGCAGGCAGACCTCTATGAGTTCAAAGCCAGTCTGGTTTACAGAGTGAGTCTCAGGAGAGGCTCCAAAGCTACACAGAGAAACCCTGTCTCAAAAAAATAAAACAAAAAACAAACAAAAGCAACACACACACATATGCACACACACAGACCATAGACTTGTATGCAAATGTACACACGTACAGCACAATACACATGTGTATATATTCACGGACACACACACACACACACACACCCCAAGCAGGAATAGAAATAGCCTAAAGAATAAATAGTTCCTGAATTCTGAATTCCCGTCATGTGTCTTTTCAGACAGTTCCCACTGCCGTAGCTGAGTCGCCCAAAGCTCTGTGTGGGGTGAGCACCCACAGGACAGCCATCCACATGGAGATAACGACAAGGAGTGGCGAGAGAGAACAAGTCAGTTTACAGAGCCTGAGGCTGCGTCAACACGTGGAGCCCTTTCCTCTGCCTACCTGTTTCCCCTCAAACCCTGTCCAGCAAGCGGAAAAAAGCGAAACATTTGGAGACCTTGCCTTTCCCCCTTTTCCCACAGCAAGCTGCCTCTGAGAAGGTAACAAATAGCACCGAGAAGGCAGTGGACACGGTCACGAGGCATTATATATATCGTATATGAACACATGTATATCATATATAATTTGTGTTTGTTTGATTTTTCTGTGTTCTGTTACTAGCTACCAACTTGCTTTATTAAGGTGGACCTTCACATCCCCAGTGATAAAGCAAGGAAAACTAACAGTCCAAAGGCAACGTCAACGGTGGTGTGTTAGATATAAAAATCTAATGTTTACTTCCAAAGGTGTCTCAAGCTAGCTTAGGTCCAGCTCATCCACAAATGGACAGGAAACACTGGACCCCTGCTAATGCCTAGCTATTCCCCACCACTCCGCAGGGAAGAATAGAAACTTAGTAATAGCTGAGTCTGCCTGTGAGGCCATGCACCTATTAAGCTTTGAAATAAACAGAATTTAAATGCAGAGATGAACTCAGACACAGTTTTTGTTGGGAAAAATTCAAACAAATAAACAACAGAGGGAAAGATAAAACCCAGGTGGCGTGTAAGATTGTTCCCTGATATAACCCTGATTATTACATAAGGCTCACAGCTTAGATTTTGTAAACTCTTTTCTGCACTCAACCAGTGCTCCTGATGACCTAGGTTGGTGCTCAGCTTGGCAAGGTCATAAAATAAAGGGCTGTTTCCCCTGAGTCTCCAGCACTCTCGCTATAAAGTAAGCATAATTGTTTCTCACAATGCTTACAGGGGAAATAGACAAACATGGAGAGGAGGCAGGAAGCTCACTGCTCTCCACTGGTGCCCAGTGGTGTTGCTTATAAAATAGGATATCACAGACTCAGTGCTCAATGGGTGATGAAGCGAGAATCGGACACACTTCACCCTGGGTCACCCAGGAGGATGGGTCATGGGGTTAGGTACATCTGAGGCTTTTTTTTTTGGTCAAAATTCCATAACTCACCTGCCCAGCTGAGGCCAAGGTGCTCTGTGATGACAGCCATCTTCATATCAACACGGTCCGTGTCACTGGTAAAACCTGGGAAGATGCATTGGATTGCAGTTAGCAGCTGAGGCAGGTCACAACACGGATGAGGTGGGTGTGTGGCCCTCACAGAGAGACACTCGGGCTACACAGGACCTTCAGGTCACACTATCAGGTAGAGACCTAAGGGGAGGGCCTTGCCTGCTGCAGACAAAATACAAAGATGAACTGACGCCAGGCCAGAGTCCTCGACAAGGACACCCCTGGCAGACTGCCTTGAGGGGATGCATTTGCAGTCTTCTAAGAATAAGCGTATGGGGACTAGGCAAGGGGCTCCTACCCAGCCGGGACTCGCTGAGGATGCTATGTCGAAGGCTCAGGGGTGTCAGGGTCCTCCTCCTGTCTTCTGCTCCACCACCCTGCAGAAGACAAAGAAAGGGTGCCATGAACTTTGGGCGTATTCCCTCTTGGAGAAGCCGATGCAAGCTCTCATGTTTTGGGATGGGGCATGGTGGCCCATGGCCTGATAGGTAAAACACATGGCAGGAGGTGGGGGGAGGAGGTTGGTGTACTCGAATGCTTCATTAGTAATATCAATAGTGGCAGGCCCGGGTAGCCATTATCGTAGGAGCCACTCCATTCGATACTCACAGCCACGTGTGGGGCAGGCAGGCACAATCGTAACTTCTATGTCATTGGTGAGGAGACAGGCATAGAGAGTAACTTGCACAAGATCACCCAGTAGAGACAGATTTTGGATTTGAACTCAGTTTTTCTTTCTGCATTCACTTCTGACTCACACTGGCCTAGGACCTACCACCAGGGCCTGTTTGTTCAGGCACCGGAAACTCCCTTTGAGAGAGAAATAGGTTCACCCTCAACTCTGGGAGGAAAGAGAGAACAAGTCACATATATGGAGGTGACCTTGCTTCTCTTCTAAGTGACCACAGAAGGCTAATGACTCGAACTACAGTGCAATAGCACTAGCAGAATCACGGGAAACATTCTGAGGATGGAGTCGCTCCAAAGGTCCAAGCCACAGCATGAGGCTCTTACAGGGATCAGAAAGAGAACATTGGCCAAGACTCCTTGGCTGAGCATGGAAACCTGAGTTTGGACAGTGGCTGGGGACACCAGCGTGCCCTTGTTTGAGGGGAAAGACAGGCACATAAATGGAAAAGAGACTTGACAACTTCTGTCTATGAGTAAGTGACCTTGGGCAAATCCCCATTCAACTGTAAGCCCCAGACACCCCAAGAGCAGCAGGGGGACCCTGTCCTCCACATCCTAGGGAGGCTGGCTCCACGTCCTATCAGCACCTGGTCCTGGCATTCGCTCCTCACACCACATAAGCAGGCTTTTTGGACATTCCAGGGCAAGCTTCCTCTGCCTAGCCACAAAGCAAATGTCCATAGCAGAGCCAGAGCCCTGGGGAGCCTGGGAATTGAAGTTAGTGCTTCGGAACGAGGAAAGAAAGATGTGTGCGTGCTTGGGAACGTCTGAGACACATCTGTGGCAGCCCACCTTGGTGCAGGGGGGCATGGTGATATTCAAGTGACACAGGATGTGCTGCGTGTCCTCGTACTTCATCGCCTTTCGCAGGAATGACAAGAACCCTCCTGGCTCTCGGCTGCTGTCCCTCACCTAGATTCAATGACACACAGGGAGCTTTAGCAGGACCATCTATGCGTCCAGGCTGGTGTTCTCAGGGGTTCCTGCCTCCCAAACTCCTGGACCAAGAAAAGAGGGTGGCCACAGGAGGCCAGCACCTTCACGGGGATGGCCAAACGGTTCTCTCGAAATGACCGGAAGTGGAAGCTTCTCTGTTGGGTTGCTTTCTTGACAGGCACCAAGTTCCCAGAGAGTTCTGCAAATAGAGGCATCCCTTCCAGAACCTGTAGGAAAAGAAAAGCGTGTTGAGCTCATATAGAAATGCCTGTAAGTTCTGTGTTCCCCTTCCCTAACCGTTCATCCCTTGCACAGGGGATGGGTTATGGGAATCCTCACTGCTCGTTTAGGGAAAAGGGTCATATATAAGCCGTGCCCTACTGATGCAGACTTATAGTGAGCATGTTCCCAAGAACGCAGCAGCCTGTCAGGACAACACAGCGTGTCTCCTGAAAAAGTCCTGGTCTGTTCTTAGGTCTACCTGAAGATGGTTTGTTTGTGAGGTGTGCTAAAAAGGCTTCAAGTACTTCTCACACATAAGGGTTCCTTCTAAGCGCACAATAGCTTCAACTGAGGTGTTCTCACGATCATATCTGACCGTTGAGGAAATGGAGGCCCATAGACAATGAGGACTTTGACCAGTGAGTGCCAGGGCAGCATCAGAACCAGGCACGCCTATGTCTCAGCCCTGCGCTTCTGATACCAAGCCAGCTCGCAGAGTTAGTTCTTGTGTCAGCTTGACACCGGCTAGAGTCAGGTGACAAGAGGAGACCTCAATTAAGAAAAGCCCCCCCACCAGACCAGCCTGCGGGAAAAGCTGCAGCGCATTGGCTTCACTGGTGACTGATATGAGAGGGTCCAGCTCTGCCACTCCTGGGCGAGCTGGTCCCGGGTTATACACGGCAGCAGGCTGAGCATGCCACGAGGAGCAAGTGAGTAAGTGTTGCTCCTGCACAGCGTCTGCTTCAGTCCCTGCCTCTAAGGTCCTAACTTCCTTCCACGAGAGATGGTGACACAGTGATGAGCTGTAAACTGAAATAAACCCTTTCCCCCCAAGTTGCTTTCAGCCATGGGGTTTTAACATAGCAACAGAAACCCTGACTAAGACATCAGCCTTCCCAGTTAAGATTCAGAGGCCAGACCCTCAGACCGTCCCTAGCTTATTATATAAACACGAGAGAGAATCTTGGGAGTAGTAGTATCTGTTTAGCCACATAGCTCCCACTTTCCTAGATGCTAGCACACCCCAGGGCTGCTGGTGGAACCAGGGAGTTTGGATCAAATCCTAGAGCTACCATCTTTGCAGCTCAAGTGTGACTTTAACCTCTCTCCCAGTCCTGGCTTCCCAGTGTGCAACTGGGGTAACCAGGGTGCCCACAGCTAAGAGAGCTAAATCCTGTCTTACAAGTAAGGTACTTTAAGAAAAAAGGATTCAACAAAATTGTGCACACACACACACACACACACACACACACACACACACACACCACATACATGCAGGTGCCCACAGAGGCCAGAGAGGGCATAGGACCTCCTGGAACTAGAGTTACAAGTGGTTGTGAGATATAGGTGCTGGGAACCGAACCCAGGTAAGTGCTGAGTCAGCTCTCCAGGCTGGCATGTTATTTTCAAATGTGCTAGATTCATGTGAACTTCAGCAAGTGCCAACTCTTACCATACAAGTCCCTGAGATGCCTGTGGTGGTGACCCTCAGGCTTGTCCTAAGTAGCTAAGACGATTCTTGGGAGAAGAGCTGAAACAATATGGTCCCTACAGCTCCAGAGGGAGGACTTCTGGCCCGGGCTGGCCATCATGTCCCAGAAGCCAGCCACGAGAGCCACCTTAACCCGGGGCTTTATTTCCTTGTGTGAAGTGAGGGAAGCCCTCCAGGGCCGTTAGAGGAGACCCAGGAGCCTCACCTCTATGTCCCTGCTCCGTGCCACCTCCACAAAGTTTTCATGCTGTTCCAAGGTCTTGTCCACTTTGTCGTCTGTCATGCAGTAGCATCGGAGCCGTCCTTCCCGAGGGTCATTCATTTTGGCAAAAATGACAAACTTGGCCATGTAGGGGACTGCAGTGAGCTCTTTGTACAGCAGGGTGGCGAAGCGCACGGCCTCCGCTGTCCGAGGGCAGTCTGACAGCCAAAACCTAAAAGGAGAGCATGCGGCCATGCAGCAGCAATTGCACCCTGTCTGGTGGGAGCAGCGACAGAGGAATTTCAAGCCTGACCTGGGAGGGCCGGCCAGGCCGTGAGGGTGGCTCCCCGTGGCCACCATGCTGGGCTGGGAAGGGCCGAGTCTTACCTGGCTGAGACATTGGTGGTAAAGTTGGCACACTCGTTGGCATACACAAGCTTGGTTGTTCCCGTTATGTCTTCCCACTGGGCTTGGTCAGTCCCACCTACGAGAGCAACACAAGTTGGGCTGGGGGCTACTTTCCATTCGTAGGCAGGAAGCTTGCCAATGCCCTCAGACAGAAGTGGTACATCCGGGTGGTCTGCAACCTGAGCCCTCTGTCTCCCCATGCTGTGGTGAGGACTCCTCCTCAGGCCATAGACTTACACTCAGTTCATCTTTCTCCCATCCCCAGGGAAGCCGGAAGAGCCCAAGGAAGTTGCTGGCTTTATCTTTTCACCACCCAGTGTGTGCCACAAACCAGCTGCTGCCAAGGAGGCAGGCACCAAGATCACCACTCACCAATGACGCTGCACAGCAGGCGCAGGCTGGTGGTGTCCCCCTCCCCACTGTCCCTGGGGTTGTCGGTCCACGAGGGAGGGAGTGGGATTCGAAGCCCAATGGGACGGTGGAACT